AGTCTTTAGATTTCTCCCATTTCCCCACGTAACGTTGAACGGCCATTGCGGCCTTATCTGGTATGCGACGGCCTTATCTGGCATAAAAAATATCTCTAGAAGTCTCTAGCTAGTGTTAAGCCTATGGACTTATAGGGAAATGTATCCGAGTACTTGGTACTGCCTCCTCCAGGTACTGGCTGGCAGACGGATCAACTTTGGAGGCCCACCATTTGGAAATTAGGCAATTTTGAGACGAATGACTTCGGATTGGGGCCTCAGCCACCTTCTTCTACACGTTTCACTGAGTAACTCCGAAATTTCGGAAAAAACCCTGATAATACCTTTAAAAAACTAACAATCTAATCTAAGCTAACCCGACTAAACATACACAACTACTGACTATAGGAACTAAGCACCTACCTACTTGTGCATACATCTCATACCATGTCAAAGTAGAGTTCCTTGGTGGAAGATTACCCTCAGTACTTTTTATCCCAGCCCTGTGAAGAAAACTAATACTTCAAAGCTCTGAGTCACTGCTGGCCATCCACAGGAAGAAACGCTGAGACTGAGAGCTTTGCCATTGTATATTGGACCAATAATCACTATCACGAATGACTATGAACACATTATATGATCACATCGTAGCATGGATTGTCACATTGACAATTCTACTATAATCCTTTTTCAAGAAATACAGTGATGACTAACATCAAAATCAACATAAAGTGGATTTAGTGATCCAAGCTTTCTCCTCCAGTAGCAATAGAATGATCGCATGTTTCATTTGCCAGACACTGAGTACCCGATGCACATTACAATCTGCATAGCATGAAGCATCTAAGCTGCCCAAGTCCATTCATTCTAGATTTTTAACTTGAAAGTTAGCACTAATTTATCATGCTGTTGTAAGTTATCATTCAATATCCATACCAATACATCAATATGCGCTCACCAGTCAACATTTTCTGGCATGATCCTGCTCAGCGTGCTCTTCAGTAGGTATTGCTCCAAGGTCTGCAATATTATAGCTTGTTTTTTGGCCAATAAGCTCTTTTAATTTTACTTTTTCTTGCTGATATATGAGCCCGATCACCTTGCGTTTATCAACCAAAATTTCATAACTTGTTCGAATCAACTTGATATTGATATTGCTCAGGAGTCAGGACCTCTGTCAGCCTCCTGGATACTTCGGATTGTAGTTCAGTCAACATGCTTCTTAAATATGATATAAGTCAATATTCAAAACATCCAACAAAACGACGCACAAGAGTAAGAAAACCACCAGATAAACTAAAAAATGGCTTTGGAAGAGAGCCAAGTGGTGTGCTCCATTTGTTTGTTTACAATGATTGTAGTGCTGATGTATTTTTAGGACTCTGAACGTCGGCTTATAAAAAATGAAACGTATTACGAAAGTTGTAAGGCAAGTAATATTTATCTGAAAGAACTAAAATATTCAAAAGCCAAACACTATGAAATACATGAATCGGAACGAAAAAGTAACCCAAAAATCCAGCCTAATCACCGGCTCCTAAAACTGCAACAAAATCAGCACTTTTCCCCGCAACTCGTTGTCCAGACGTAAATATGCGGTAGTCCAACGTTGAAGTATACCCTTTTTTGTGGCCCGAAGTTGGAACTTTAAATTGAAGCATCCGAAAATGATCGATATTGATCGAAATCATGATGTTGATGAAAAAAATAATATGTTAAAGGGACCCTCCCACCTTAACATTAGTTTTGAGTTGAGATAGCCAAGTTTGCGGCCAGGCTCAGAAACCACCATTTATCCTGGTCGCAACCCCCGCAGCTTTATGGTGTTCAAGAAATTTCTTCCCTTTACTTGCAGGGTGGGACCAGCGTGGTCCCTATCTCTTAACCATTACGGGAATCTGATGACGTCATCAGGCTTTCGAACGTCCGTTAAATGTTTGACTAAAACGTTTTGTAGCACGCGGTGGTATATGCTGCTTTGCGCGTAACAAATGCCGCACTTTCAAATAAAGTCGCTAGGAACAGCGGAGATCCCAAAAAGTAAACAAAAGTAAAAGTCTAATATCTTGAAAACCGATGAATATTTTTCGATGAAATTTGGTAGATATTCGTTTTTGCTCTTTCTGAACCGAGCGACATCACTTTCATGCCAATTCATTAACTTTTTTGAAGGTGGGAGGGTCCCTTTAAGTTGAGAGAGGAGGCCATTTTATCCAGATGCGGTGGTTTACTTCTTGAAATTATTTTTGCTTACGACGACTGCCATGTAATGAGGGATAATTAGCAGCCGTCATTAGCAAAAATAATTTCAAGAAGTAAACTACTGCATCTGGATAAAATGGCCTCCTCTCTCAACTTAAAATATTATTTTTTTCATCAACATCATGTTTTCGATCAATATCGATCATTTTCGGATGCTTCAATTTTAAGTTCCAACTTCAGGCCACAAAACAAACTACCATACAAATAGGATGGTAATTTTCTCAGCACTAAAAACCGGTCATTTTGTGGTATTTTCGGCAAAGCTAGGCATCTCCAGTTAATTTGAGGTATAACAGGGTCATTTAGCACCTAACCAGTTATAACACCTATTTAAGGGACTTAAGCACTACTTTTAGTCTAATTCGCAGTACTTTTAGTTTGAATGGCACCTAATGGTAGTCATTTCGCACTATTTTTGGTAGATGTTTAGGCATCCCTACTAAATCTAGAAAGATTTTAGTATATTATGGAGAAATAAACTACAATACTAGTCTGTACTAGCTACAGATTGCTTGTTGCCAGGTCGATTAGCGTCTGTTTCGGCGCATGCGTTTTGAGAGGACCGATAGGACGCAAGGCGCGCTTCTTGGACGGATTTGGCAAGGAATTTGGATAGATTGATTTACGTACAGCCTCAGCGTGTGCCGATCATCCTGCCTTTTCTTGTCCAAGAGTGAACTGAGCGAGGTTCTTAGCATGGAGATTGGAGAGTGATGACGATTTCCGCGAGGATGTTGGGTCCTACCGTCCGCCCAAGCGTACTGGTCCGCCAGTGCTGCTGTCTTTATCCTGTCAGGTTATCTAACGGCGCTATGGGCATGTAGATTGTAGCAGCTGTAGGTACAGCATTGCAGTAGCAAATGCTTATAATGTGCGGTGGCATTTTCCCATGCTTAGTAGGAAGCGCTCGACGTCCCTTCCGTACGTGTCGTGGAAGGGACGTGTCTGTCATTGACGCACATCAACTAGATGGATCTTGATTGTAGCATTTCGCAGCAGCGTTTTATCGTTCAGCGGCCTAACGCCTAGCCAGCTCTCATTTCGAGGGGTGGTACTTTGCTGAGGAGCATGAGTGGTCACGCTGCATCGTGAGCCAGATGAAGCCGGTGGGCAGACCGTGTACCGTACATTTGCGTACAGTACATGATTTTGTCCCACGAACCTAACCGATGCGCATTTTTGTCCACAAATTTACCTAATATATACCCAGCATGCCTATTAGTCGTTAGGGGGCAGCACCGGGCGTGGTGTATTGCGTAGAGGGCAGGACCTATGCAACAAAACTTGCTCCAATTCAGTTTTCATCGTGGAAGTAATACGCTGAATGGAGAATCATACTTTGATGTCTAACTTACGTACAACATAAAAAATAAATACCTCAAAGCTCAAGAATACTGTGGTCATAGCAGTAGCTCGTGCTCGGCAGTGAAATCATGAATAGTGCTCACATACCGGATTTAGTGCAAAATGAGCTACGACACACCCATTTATTATGCCAGATCTGGCATCGCCTCTATACTAACTAAAATAGTGCAGAATGACCGGATATACCTGTGTTTGACAGGAATTGCCTGCGAAAAGACGATAGTGCAAACTGAACTTATGATAGTGCAAAATAACTGAAATTTAGGTACTGAAAAAATTATCCCCCATACAAATAACAGGCATATTAAAGCTGGATTCTTCGTCTTGCACCAGGTGGCAGCACTTCTTTTCCAAAATCAGTGTTTATCTTTCCAAAATCTTCATTTCCTCGCTGAGGAGTGAAATCGGCCTCATCGTTGTCAAAAATAGCAGAATCGTTGTCATTTTTAGCACGTGTGACAAAAATAGCACGTGCTAAAAATGACAACGATTGACCAAACCTCCCCCGACTGACACTTATGGTTCAGTGAGTTATTGCTAAAAACTAGCCGCTGTTCCATTGTGTTGTTTATTTGAAATACTGCACAGTTGTCAGTTGCCATTTTGATTTCAACCAATTTATATGATATGCCCCATTAAATTGGGAAAATCTGCATGAAATTCCTGATCACAAATTAACAATAATATTCACTCATGATTCATGAAGATTGTATGAGAGGAATTAACTGGTTTAACTGGTGTTCAGGGTTTGTACAGGCTCAAGGTAAGGCAAAATTACAACTAATAAAAGAAAGTTAATTTATAAATGTACAGCAAGCTACTGAACGATCATATCATTTTTTAAATGTAGGAACATTGAATTGGGGCAAACTCGGCGCACTGGAATTTTTCACTTGTTCCTTTTTCACATAGTATTTTATTGAGTTATTCTTTAAATAACATATGATGCTTTTGCATGGCATCTTTTCTTAGTCAACATTATAAAAGTCATCAATTCATAATAAAAACTCACCACCGGCCAGCCGCGCAAACTAAACGCGCGCCACTTTCGGACGTAAACACCAAGCATGTGATAAACAACGGCGTCCTTGTTTGGCGCGCAACAAAATGACGTTACAGGTCCTAATTGGAAAAGCTTGGAATGTCAACTTTGAATGTGAATCAGTGCGATATTTCCCATTAATGACATTTTGGACAGCAAAAATGTCTGGATATTCCATGTATTCATTAGCCTGGTTTTGTATCCGCCCTTCTCATAAGGCAAGCCCAGTGGCGTCAGGCGTGGAGTGATTCGTACTTACGACCTCAAACTTTGTTATTGTTCCGTGGCCGTGGCCCTACATATTTTTCTATTCATCAGCATTATTTTTATTCCCGTCTGTCCCTTTTCACAGACGCCCCACCGCCGATCCGAGGGCCCGGTGTCTGCCTCGTCGACGCCGTCGACATCGGCGCGCTCCCCGACATCGGCCGACGGCGAGCACAAGGTCAACGACCCGACCCAGATGCTGCAGCAGGACTGGCGCGAGTTTGAGTGCCGCACCTGGCACCTGGAGCCTACGGTCAGGTGAGCTGACCTCGCCTTAAAAAGCCTTGATGTTGACCGGTCTGTACGTGGGTGTAGAAGTCTACTGTAGAAGTCTACCGTGACATTGACAATCTACAGTCCTGTAGATTGTAAATGTCACGGTAAGGGCTATTCAGTGTCGGATGGGTAGAAGAGTTGGGGTACCAATGTGTTTCTTCCGTGAATGCCGTGATGATGTCAGTTCTGTCGCTACCGCAGGCTGCTGTCATGGGCGGGCCGGCGCATTGAGCCGTACGGCGTGGACTTCATCCTGAACAAGCTGGGCTTCCGCCACGCGCGCAGTACGATCCCCAAGTGGCTGCAGCGCGGCTCCATGGACCCGCTGGACAAGGTGCTGGCCGTGCTCGTGGAGAGGACCGTCCAGGTGACCCGCGAAGGTCACTGACCTCGGCCAGGTCACCCTACTGACGGCGATCCTGGGCGCTGATTGGAGGCGAGGGTGTCTTGAACTCTTCACTGAAGGAGACGGGTGCTACCGTCGTGATGAGCTTTAGAAATGTCGTTGTGAAATCCGGACTTCAACTGTTGTGGTTCTTCCATTGGACACTGACAGAAGGACAGTGACTTGGTTAAAACGGACGCTAGTTGCGCCGCCGGAGAGTGGAGGGTGGTGCTAGGCTGTGCTGACGACCAACTGAGATTGATGAAAATAACATTTGTGTCGTCCGGTTCGGCTTCATTCGCCACTGTGATCGGCCCGCGCGACTCAGAGGCAGTGGTATGTTGAATCGCCGCGAGATACTTAATTAGCCGTTATGTTTGCAGAGGCCGCTAGTTATTATTGGTGCTTAAATATTATACCAACCGGAGTCATCATGTGAGGTTGTGATGGGGGGCCGCTCTCTGCGCGCGGCGCCGAATGTGATTGATCTTTTTACGAGATTATACTCGTGTGAGTGTCGCGCACAAGTCCAGTGTACAACGTCAGCCGCCGTGCTGTGCCGTGGTGCGTTCGCTCGCCGCCACCGCGTATGTTTCGCCGCCCGTAGCCGTCCCATGTATGTCCCGTGTCGATCAGTGATCCTATACCAGATTCCCGTCTCGTGACGACTGTATGTACCGCTAGTGCGCGGCGAAGGTGCTAGGTCGCCGGGCCGGCCTGTCCACTGGTTTTGTGTGTTGTCCGATTGATCTTAATGTCTGTATCCTGTGACCCGTTCCTGATCTTCGTAGGCCGACCGATGCGTCGATATTGAACCTCGCTCGGCGTCCGACGCCGGCTCTAGGAGCGAGCGATATTGTGTCTAGTCGCAAACCCTGCTCATCGTGTGTGATTTTGTCAGAGCTGCTAGAGGATAGTGATCGGGATGCTGATAGAAGCTTGGTTGTGGTGTTTGTGGAACCCGCGCCACTCCGAAAGTGCCGTAACAAAGGCACACAACTCACGGCGGGTATGTTTGTCACACGCGGTAATCCGCATCTGCTGTTGTTGAAATGGAAATGTGAACACATATAAACATTATTAACATGCTGTGCCTGGCAGTTTTACGAGGAACGAGTCTGAGTGCAAATGTACCGCCTCCGGCCTCCGTCATTCATCCGTCCTCGCCATCTTTCAGACAAACCATCCTCCCTCACGCTCTCTTTCCGGGCTGGCGGTCACCCCACCTGACTGAACCGGTGGATGAGGTCGAGTCCACGCCAGTACCCGTAAAAATCCTCATCCGGTGGTGACCGTTTTGGAGGCAGGCGAACTGTCCCAAGTCCCAACGGGGCAATCCGGTCCCTCCTGGGCCAATCCGGGAAGGATAGGGCACAACCCAATGTCTACGCCCAATCCTAGTATGTCCCAATATATACGGCCTATCCTAACATTCCATAGCCCTGCAATGGTCTTTTTTAGGCCGAAAGAGCTTCCTCTAAACAAAACAAATACCGGTTGGCGCTAGCGTATAGCTACGTATAGGTATTGATATGGACATGGTGTTGATTTCGCTCCACACGGGGCCGCGACGAAAGGCACTTCCTGCGAGAACCCATGGGGAGTGATCCAATGCCCAGCAAAGCCATGAATATCGATTCTTTTCTAGAGAATTTTGTGCGGATCTAAGCTCTTCCCCTCACTCCTCTCGGCTCTCTCCTCAGTGGCTGAGCTCCTGGACCTGGTTGCATGGGTTTGACGGAAATTCTACAACCCGAACCAAAAAGATTTATTATGTATAAATAGAAGATAAACGGCATATCTTAAAGTAGATAATGCCGTTATGACAAAATTGGTTAGGGTTTGGAATTTGGTAGCGGATTTTCTTTTTCTCATTCCTTTTCTCCCTAAGATATGCTTCTAAAAGAGTACCGAAATGAGTTGATTGCATTTAAGAGTGTTGATTACATCGTTAAACTATCAAGCAAAGCCTTTTTGGTGTGAAAATCTGAGGAAAATCGTTATTAATTCTGATACTACTTATATTCCGCTTGTCATTGATGTTCGTTGCCGATTTCCCAAAGATCGCAATCAGCTGACTGCGTGGCAGTTTGTGTGTTCTTGCGCCCTGCATGTTTGGTACGTCCGCAAATATTTGAAACGGTGAGTTTTGGGTATTTATTTGTAGTAGTTTTCGGTTTATCACTTTTTTCAATTTGCAGGTACAGCTCAGCTTCAAGACATCAGTTTTTGATTCGTTTTGTAGGCGCTAGAGCGTGAATCTATCCTGTTTGTGTGTGCCGGGTGGTCTGAAGCGCGCCATTATGGCCGTATTTTCGCTATCCCGTTTATCAAGGCGTATTTCTGCATTTTACAGTCATTTATGACTTTATTGATTTGAGCAGCACCTGAAAATTACTGATTGTGTCAATCCATTTCAAGTTATGATGGTTTCCTTCATATTTTTCCTATCATATATTGATCCGAAGCCCCCTGGTCCAGGGGGCTTCGGGTCAGTGCAGCTTAACTCCACATTCGATGTGTCTCGAAAGACAAAGATTCTATGTCGTTTGGCCAATACGTCGTTCAGCGGCCAGAGTGGAAAAAATACACGTTATGCCGAATATGTCCGGCGTAGTGGCGGGATTGCACCAAAAGTTTCAGTGCACGTCCCGCGTAGCTTCGCATGCGCCGAATTCAGCGCATGGCGGCGGACGAATTTTTCGGCGCAGGGCGGTCACATAATTTTTTGGTGAAAGACGGTGACCAAATTTATGCGGTACGCTGGTCAATCTAGCAGCAGATTCGCCCCCGGGCGGCTCTGGTGAGGTTTCGGGATGAGACCTCCCCGCCCCGGTCGTCGCGTGCTCGAACTGGTGAGCCGCTCGAAGTCAGCGGAGAAGCGGCTGCCCAGGGAGGCCTCAACCCTCAGCGTGGAGATAGCCGGTATCGAAGACCTTGTTGAACATCGCCAAGCGTCGTTAACCCGCGTCCTGCTGGGGGGGGGGGGTGTTTGAACACCCCCTTGTGGTTTTTCGCGAATATCTCAAAAACGGTGGCGCCTCCGCGCCGCCGTTTTCGGTACAACTTATCATACATCAATTCTACACATGTTGTGAAAATTTCAGACCAAGGTCATTCAAGGTCAGGTCACCAGGTCACTTGAAGTGACCTCACCTCATAAAAAGTTTCAATGTCTGTCATAGCTACACCGAGTGACCGATCGCTTTGAAACTTTCAGCGATCGCTAAGAGCAATAGCATGTACAAAATGTATATCTCAGAATTTTGATATTGATGACCTCAGGCCAGGTCAATTTTTCGACCTCCCCATTATAAGTCAATGGGAGAAAATTGAAATGCGCCTTTTTTGGACGAAAGACATTATAAACACTCCCAAACACCGAATTACAAGTGGTTTAGACACACTGAACATAAAAATGGTGTCCGTGACCCTTGTTTATGCCCTGAGGTCATCTTAGGTTACGAATGGTATCTAACAGTTTTTCGCAAATAACTTTTGATAGAGGCATGCTAGAGCGATGAAAACGCCTTAGATGTGTTCAGCTCGACGATGCGGATCGACTGATATGCAACATGACCCTTTCCGGTCAGGTCATGACCTTGACCTGAGGTCAAATTTTCAAGTTGACCTTTCAAGGTCAAGTTATAGTTCATTCGATGCGTCTTGACGAGAGGAACACGATGCCGGTGAAAGTAAGCTCGTACAAGGCTTGGGTCAAAAGTTATTGCAGAAAAACTGTTTCCGAAAAAAATCGGCTATTTTTGCAGTTTTTGCCCCCTGCAGGCAAAACCGTTGACGTTAGGTCAAATCTGAGGGAATAACTCAGAAAGGGCGTTAATAGGGCTATCGAATGCGCTTTTCCGCGGCGCTGTAGCTCTATTGGTTCCCGAGTTATGCGTTGGCTTCTTGGAAATTTTCGACATTTTGCCTGGAAATCGACGAAATTTTGCGTTCAATGACCTCTGGTGACCTGACCTTTGACCTGAACAAAAAATTGACCGAAGTGATTTCGTCATTATTTTTGATGCTCTTTCGAACGCCGCTTTCCGCGTATCGCTACGTGGCCCAGGAGCCGAGTTACAAGGGGAGGTGTTCAAACACCCCCCCCCCCCCAGCAGGGCGTGGAAATCCAGGACCCCCAGCCGGGCGCGGGTTAAGCAATGCTGCAGTGGGTTCCTGCCCACTGCGGTATCGAGGGGAATAAGAGCGCGGACGACCTGGCAAAACAGGCGGCCGTCCTGCCCTCAAACACCCACTCGCTGACCAGGGCGGTTCACTGTGCGGCCTCGCATCAATGGCGCGACAACTGCAGCTCAGAATCACTATTCAAGCCACTCCTCGGGAGCACGTCGCCGCTCCCTATCCCCGGAGCGGACCGAGAGGATGCCGTTTCGGTGCATCAGATGAGGGCGGGCCACTGGGGCCGCTCGCTCCAATACGGCACCGAATCGGCTGTCTCCACTCCGCTTGTTTATTGGGGCTTTTGGGAACCGAAGTGGAGACAGCCGATTCTCCGCGGTGTGCCAGCAGTGTCCAGACAAGCGGTGCCCCGCGGCGCTCTGCGCCGTGTGCCGAGAAGAGGGTGATGTGCCGGAGCACATGCTGCTCCGCTGCCCGGCCCTCGCTGCCACTCTCACCAGCCTCGAACACACTGCTCCGCCGATATTAACATCGGCACAAATTTGTGGTCCCGGAACTCACGGCTCCAGCTTTGTTTCACGGCATGAAGCTAGAGTGCGCTAAGACTATTGAGGTACTGGGTTTCTGTGGAAATGAAAAACTCATTCGGACGCTCAAACATGGGAGAGCATACAAGGCCCCGGAACACTCTGTCTGGTTCATATAGCCTTGATCAGTACATGTGCACATGTGCTTTATATAAAAAGGGCTTAATTTTCGCACAAATAGGCACCTAATTTTTGGCGCAAATCACACAGAAATTTCAGCGCAAAATCGCTTGCTCCGAATTTCGGCGCAAGAGGGTCTCACGGGCGTCCGGCGTAGTGTATGGATGTTTTCCAGTCTGCGTCAGCGGGGGCTCGGCTGCGGTTATGGAACGGTGATTGGCCGGACGACGCATAATCTTCGTTGTCCGAGAGACATCAAACGTCGGGTAAATCTGTGCTGCGTGCGTCATACTTTGGTAATGTCAACCACCTGGCTCTGCCCACTTTGCCAGCGCACATGGGCCGAGAGCTGCTGCAGCCTAATCCATGTTCCGTAAAATCTGCATGGGTAGGGGTACCTAGCCTCTAGATCAAGCCAGACCTGCCGCTAACTGCTAATTCAGGGCGGGGCATGTCCCTGCCCTATGCCGTCGTCCAGGACTCCAGGAGCCTGTGCAAGTGTATTTTTTATTTTGCTTAGAGAAAGCAAAGGCTAGTCTGACTTCCTCAATTTGTCAGATGTGTTGACTAGCCTTAATATCTAATTACAATTTACTTTTTCAGCGGAGTGAACCCAAAACAGCAGCAATGGCCACCCGCAACTGGAATCTGGAGTGCAAGGTGTATGTTGGAAATCTGGGCAACAGCGCTGCCAAGAATGAGATTGAAGATGCCTTCAGCAAGTACGGTAATCTGCGCAACGTGTGGATCGCGCGCAACCCACCTGGCTTTGCATTTGTGGAGTTTGAGGACCCACGGGATGCTGAGGACGCTGTGCGAGGACTGGACGGAACGTGAGTGCCTGTCATATATGTTTCGCATGCTGTGGCTTCATATGGGCCGTATGAAGCAGTGGGCATAATACTTACAATAAGGTTTTGCTTGTGTATGCAGGTTTGCTCCTCTGCTATTTTTGACATTGAACAAACATGTTTCATGGTTATGTTCTCTATTGTTCTCTATTGATGTTATGATGTATGTGTATCCTGATCGCCTCTGGCCTTATCCAGTCGGCTGTGCGGCGAGCGGGTCCGTGTGGAGATGTCGTCCGGCAAGAGCCGCAGCCGCGGTGGTATGCGCGGCGGCGGCGGCGGCTACGGCGGTGGTGGTTTCGGCGGCAGGAGGTGAGTGCGGACAGGGACGGCTGCCGTCGGTCGGTCCGTGAATGGCGTGTGTGGACGAGAGAGAGACGAGAGCTGGTTACCGAGACACGGAGAGAGTAGTGTGAGAGTGTCGGACCTGGCCGAGCCGTCTCAAGTGTGTCGCTGTGCTGTGTTGAGGACGTGGTGCCGGCTGAAAGTCTGACGCCACGTTGCCGTCTTACAGATTTCCATCACACCACCACCCCTTGCCTCCGTCCATCACACTTCACGGCCTAGCGTGGGTCACGTGACGCGGTCAGGTGACCCCTGACCCGCGACGTGACCCGGCCCATCAAGGGACTCTCGGCTCACCCCCATCTTGCGTCTCACACATCGCCTCTTCGCGTCGTGTCACTCGTTTGCGTTAATGGCCGCATTAGCTACGTACTTGCTTCGTGGGCCCACCATTCTCCGCTCCTCTGCGCTTCGCTCCCTCCGCTTATGTCGAAGCAAGTAAGTGAGCACACCACCAGCGACGTAGATGGGGATGCTCAATATCGTTCGATCAATTCTCAGGTTATACTGCACAAACAGTTCTAATGATTCAAATGTTATATTTTATTTTCGATGTTATAATTTATAATCATATTATTATTCATATTGACGCAGATGGAGCGGATTTCTATGACCAATCATTCTCTTCCTGACAGGATAAATGTGACGTAAAGGAGCTGAGTATAACAGATATCGAAACGCTGTGTTTCGTTAACTTTCCACCCTTTCAGAGATATCGGTGCCTTTTCCGTTCATGGGATGGGGCCCGGTGCCTGGAGGCAGACTGTGGTTCCATGCTAACACGGTCAGTGGGCCAGTGCTCCGGCCCATACCGGAGCCGTGTGTGTATGTCTGTGTGCGCTGTCTGACACTGTGCTGTGTGCGTGTGTTGGTGCAGGTCGCCAGGCCGTCGCTCCATCTCGCCGCGGCGCCGGTCACGCAGCCGCAGCCCGCGTGGTTCGCCCGTCTACGACCGCTACAGGAGGTGAGTGCCGTCGGCCGACCCGCGGGGCGCGGCGAACGAGAATGGTTTGTTGGCCGGTAGTTATTTGGTTGTCCGTTTGGGTTGAGCGGAACGTATGCTTTGTGGTGTGTGGATTATGATAAATTCTACTCGTGAGAGCACCTCTCTGCGTCGTGCGTTGGGTGTTTTGAAAAGTCTGGGTGTGTAAGTAGTGTGATTGGTACCGGGATGTTCACTGTTCAGCAGCTTGCCCTCAGCTAATGAATTGCAAACTAGTTCCAACCAATAACACATGGCCGACTTTTGGATGGATGGCAATGTCTGGTTTTGGGTGTGGCAGCTTGTGTGTCATATGCAATGCATGTCCATTCATCATGTAAGTTTGTTCACTGTGCCAATTTCTCTCCCGGACCATGGCAGCTAAGCGTTGCCGCTCACAAGCTGCCACCTGGGATGGCGCCAGCCACGACTTCACTTCAGAACCTTGGTACAAACTTGGTCCAGTCGCTGATGCCCACAGATGCTAATGTTGTCGCACGCGGATATTAACCGTCTGGTTATTGAGACAACCGCTAAAATCTCTCGACTCTTGGTTATTTTTAATGTAGCTCTTCTTGGTCCTTCCCATCTGCCATCCATCCCTTTATGCATGGTGCTTTCCCTGGTTTGGTAGTCATTTACGTTTTTGCGCAAATTTTTTATTTGGTAGCTTCACAGACAACTGTTTTCGCTAGTCATTCCGCGTTTCTGTTTTTTTTTTCATCGAGGCTAGGCATTGCCCGTAAAGCGTGTTATTTTTTTCTGAATTCTACTGGCGCTTTTTTGTGTGCTTGTAACTGCCTCATCGCTTGATGTGTTTGCGTTCACACGTTGTGCTGTGTCGGCTCTGATCACTGCCCTGCTCGGTGCAGGGCTTCTGCACCGCTCAGAAGCCGGTGAGCGGCAGCTGTGTGCGCCCGCCCTCTGTCCGTCTCCTCCCTCTGATCGACCCTCCCCCTCTGTCCCCCGGCAGGTCCAGGAGCCGCGACTGAAGAGGTCCGCCGCCACCGACACTGACCGCTGTTGTCACCGTTTGACGCCCCCGGATGACGCCGGCACCCCCTTACCCCTCCCCAGCGCCGCCCATATCCCCTTCCCGCTTCTGAAGCGTGCGCGCTCAGAGGCCGGCCACGAGCCCCGCAGAATATCAGCTGTCTATGATCTGGCTGGTGGTGTAATTTGCATGACTGATGAGTTCAGCTCACGGTAGCGGTTTGTGGCATTCCATTATTTCATCTGAGTTCGTGACGTCGGTGTGTAAACGTCAGAAATACACGTCATCTTCCGAATGCTGTGTTTGCGTGTGGGAAGTTGATCGGTCCAGCCTCCGATGTAGTGGATATAACCTGTCGGCTAATTTCACTCAGATGAATACGCGTTAATAACGTACATCTGTAAGCATTTTTGAATTGAACGTACGCTGTCCTCGAGTTGGGCTCTAGTATAGACTGCAATATGTATGTATGTATGTATTGACACCAAAAGCCTTCCACATATGGCGTGGCGATTACGGCTTCCATCCCTTTAAAGGGACCCTCCCAGTTCCCACCTTAACATTACTATGGACGTCAAACCCTTTGAGACCCCACTTTTTTGCGATAATTTTTAAATGCGTCAACTCTCGTTGACAATATTCTGGCAATGTGTGTTTCAGAACCTGCCGAAACTTTTATTACTAAGGTATTTTGACGCCAAACGATTATGAAAGGTACTTCTCATTCACTCGTAATGTTAAATTTCACGGAACGAATCTGCTGTTTGGGTAGAGGCTACGCGCTCATGGGGCGGAGCCACGTAATGACGTCAGCGCTAAGCTCCGCCCTACCCCTCCGGCGCTCCTTGCCCGGCGACCGGTCACTCGCGTCTCTCGCTCCATTCAGGCTTGATGGTGGGCGGTAGCTGGTAGCGGTAGCGGGCGCTGGTAGATGGCATTTAGAGCAGATGGCGCTGGTGGCGGGGCTCGAGTGTGGCCAAGCGCAAGCCTCTGCCCGGGCCTGAATTGACCTTAACATTACGAGTGAATGAGAAGTACCTTCCATAATCGTTTGGCGTCAAAATACCTGAGTAATAAAAGTTTCGGCAGGTTCTGAAACATGCATTGCCAGAATATTGTCAACGAAAGTTGAAGCATTTAAAAATTATCGCAAAAAAGTGGGGTCTCAAGGGGTTTGACGTTCATAGTAGTTTTGAGTTGAGATAGCCAAGTTTGCGACCAGGCTCAGAAACCACCATTTATCCTGGGCCCTGTTTCACCGGTGATAGCAGCAAGCTGCTATCACGTTTCGCGAGCTGACGTCATGTCGTGACGCCATACTGTTGTCGTAATGGGTAGTTCCGGCGCACGATTGCCGCGACCTTGGCGGCGGCATTAAGTGACGTATGAGCCTAAAAGTAAGAGTTTACGCAGTCATGATAGTATATATATTTTTGATATATATTTTTTCAATATGATGTATTTAAAAGAAGTTGGGTTTAGGAAAAATTTGGACATTAACTTCGAACATTTAGCTGATGACGTAAAACAATATTGCGGCAATCGTGCGCCAGAATTGCCCCTTACGTCAGCAGTATGACGTCATCACATTACGTCAGCTCGCGCAATTTGATAGTAGCTTGCTGCTATCACCGGTGAAACAGGGGCCCTGTTTCACCGGTGATAGCAGCAAGCTGCTATCACGTTTCGCGAGCTGACGTCATGTCGTGACGCCATACTGTTGTCGTAATGGGTAGTTCCGGCGCACGATTGCCGCGACCTTGGCGGCGGCATTAAGTGACGTATGAGCCTCTAAAAGTAAGAGTTTACGCAGTCATGATGGTATATTTATTTTTAATATATATTTTTTAATATAATGTATTTAAAATAAGTTGGGTTTAAGGAAAATTTTGACATTAGCTTCGAACATTTAGTTGATGACGTAAAACAATATTGCGGCAATCGTGCGCCAGAATTGCCCCTTACGTCAGCAGTATGACGTCATCACATTACGTCAGCTCGCGCAATTTGATAGTAGCTTGCTGCTATCACCGGTGAAACAGGGCCACGGCCCCGGTCGCAACCCCCGCAGCTTTATGGTGTTCAAGAAATTTCTTCCCTTTACTTGCAGGGTGGGACCAGCGTGGTCCCTATCTCTTAACCATTACGGGAATCTGATGACGTCATCAGGCTTTCGAACGTCCGTTAAATGTTTGACTAAAACGTTTTGTAGCACGCGGTGGTATATGCTGCTTTGCGCGCAACAAATGCCGCACTTTCAAATAAAATCGCTAGGAACAGCGGAGATCCCAAAAAGTAAACAAAAGTTAAAGTCTAATATCTTGAAAACCGGTGAATATTTTTCGATGAAATTTGGTGGATATTTCGTTTTTGCTCTTTCTGAACCGAGCGACATCACTTTCATGCCAATTCATTAACTTTTTTGAAGGTGGGAGGGTCCCTTTAAAATACTGTGCCGTCGAAGTTTTCCGTATAATTAAAGTTGCATTTGAATGTCCGCTTACCACAAAATAGACCAGTTTGGTGAATTAAAGACCTCATGAGAGCTCATTGTGAAGTGTGAACTATTGCATGATGCTACTACGAGTACGGTTAGCTGAGATCTACTTGCTGGGTACTGGAGGTGTGCAGTATCCGTTTTATTCCCAGTAGCCTATCCGAGCGAACCCGTGCCTGTCCCTCTCAGCATATGCCGGCAGGCCTGACCGCTGACCAGCGGGAGGGATTGGTGGTCGCTGGGTGCCGCTTTTGCGGTGATTGCCGCCCACTGGAGTGCGCCAGGCGGCACGGGTGAAAGCAGAAGCGGACGGTTGACCTCAGACTGCCAGTGCCAGAGCCCTGTTTCACGGCACTGCGCTACGGGTATCGGTGTATTGGGTTTCCATGGAAATGTCAACAAACTCGGACGCTCGCAAGTCGCAGCACTGGAGCGTCGAGGCGAATTCGCCTCAAACGCAGCACCAATACAACAGCGTAGCGCAGCGCACTGTACCGCCGTACCGCGAAACAGGGCCCAGGTGGGACGTGACGTCTTCCGGTCCGGCGAATGTTCCACGTGTGTGTTGTAGTTAGTGATTGGGCAACGGGGGAGGCCAGCTGGCTTTGGAAGCTAGGACGCCGCCGCCCCGGCCTGGTGGGTGTAGCGTCTCGCTGTGTGGGTCTGTCCCGGCTCCGGCAAGGTTGCCGGTCCCCCTCTGTCACCCCTGGCCAGGCCGGCGGTGCTGCGTCTCGCTGTTGGGGATCGGTCCCGGATCCGGCGGGGGTGACTGCCCCTCGCCCGTCCCGTCCCGGCAGTGCCGCGTCTCGCTGTGAGGGGGGGGGGGGGTGTCTGTCCCGGGTCCACCGGGGCTGCGCCCCCCTCCTACATGACGCCGGGAATTTCGCCACATGTGGTGGGATTAGGCGCTGGCGCATGACCACGCTGCCGTCCTGGCCCCTTACAGACACCCCCTTCCCGCCGGCGGTAAGGAGCCGGTCTTGATGGAAGCCTGGTGTGGTGTGCACGTGCGAGTGAATAGACTGGTACACACAGCGCATGATTTATGATTGCGTTTGGTAGGAAGTAGGAACAGAGGTCAGAACAGATAACTCACAATGGGTAAACGGTCTCGTTCTGCTATCGCTGGGAGCAACTACCACACAGTACGATCTAAGGGTGTTGCGGCTTGCCCTCTGCCTCTGCCAAGATCAGTGGATTTGTCGGCAATCGGGGGCGTTCTTTCAAACCGGGCTTCACCGCGAAAACAAATAACACTCAAGTCTCATGACAAGAAATGTCACCATATTCAGCCCACCAATCATTTTTTTTCAGTTAATCATAGCTATCGGATCTGTCACCACGATGCCCGGACACCGTACGCATCAGTGTGGCTGTCGACGGCTAATATCCTAAGTGAAGCTATTTGAGGCATAATTGTTCCAGTAAAATCACTACAAAATGAAAACCGTTTGATAATTTTTATCATTTTGCTCAGCTTGGTGTGGAATCGAACGGTAATTGCCTGAGCGAAAATGACGAAAACCACACGCTTTTCATTTTATGGCAATTTTACCACACCACTACATAGGTACTGTTAAAATAAAATAGCCCCATCTTACGGTAATCCAAAACGTTTCTACCAATTCTCTTTAAATCAAGTCACTACGACGCAATCTCTGGTCATGACAACACACACAAACAACAAACTTCAATTCATTCAACTTCTTCAAACATCATAAAAATCGCTGAACGTGTATTTCTGACGTTCATACACCGACGTCACGATCTCAGATGAAATAATGGAATGCCACAAACCGCTACCGTGAGCTGAACTCCTCAGTCATGCAAATTACACCACCAGCCAGATCATAGACAGCTGATATTCTGCAGGGCTCGTGGCCGGCCTCTGAGCGCACACGTTTCAGAAGCGAGGGAGGGGGGTATGGGCGGCGCTGGGGAGGGGGGGGGGGTGCCGGCGTCATCCGGGGGCGTCAAACGCTGACAACAGTGGCCAGTGTCGGTGGCGGCGGACCTCTTCAGTCGCGGCTCCTGGACCTGCCGGGGGACAGAGGGGGAGGGTCGGTCAGAGGGAGGAGACTGGCAGAGGGCGAGGAAGGAGGTGGGGGCACACACAGCTGCCTGTCACACAACACTGACTCCTGAGCAGAGCGGCGAGGTGACAAAACTGCTAAGTAGTCAAGCTAACGTAACTCCTCGATCCATATGAACACGAGAAGAAAATTATTCGTTCGTTCATTGGGGTTTACGGGCGCGTCGACTGCGGTGGTCATTTTGCGCCCAAGAAGAAAATTATTGTCACGGAATATCGAATGAGCAAGAACTAAACAATAATTGCGCCTACCCGGGTACCCACAATATTCACACAGTAAAGTTGCTGCCCAAGAACTGTTCTTTCTAGGCACCCTACGACGCGCGGCGGGATGATTACAGGCATGCAAGGCAAGGAGATGTGACACATTAGCTTTAACGACGAATAGGAACCGTGCAATTATTGCACCTAAACTGGAAACTACAGGAATTGTTAGTAGGTAACTGTTCGCATTCTAAATTTATTTGTGAGCGACAAAGAATGTACTAATCTGTACCAAGGTTCTGAAGTGAAGTCGCGGCGCCATCGCAGGTGGCAGGTTGTGGGCGGCAACGCTTATCTGCCATAGTCCCAGAAAGAAATGCATGTAGTAAATAAACATACGCACAGTGTATGCCAACTGCCACATCCTTCACGAAACGATTATCCATTTGCCGTCTTTGACAAATTCTTCACAATATGAGAAGAGCATACGCGAGCTGATTCCACCGCCTAACGCATCGCCAACTCCAAAGCACCCACAGCAGCCAAGTCACAGTTCTCTTACAAGCAGGAGCACCACGAGCAAGGACACGGGTAATCCACGACATCCTGTGTCTCCCCAGCACCACCACCGGACAATCACCCCACGCGGACTTCCCCGTGACCAAACCATCCTCTTCGCCGCGCCCCGGTCGGCCGACGTCACTCACCTCCTGTAGCGGTCGTAGACGGGCGAACCACGCGGGCTGCGGCTGCGTGACCGGCGCCGCGGCGAGATGGAGCGGCGGCCCGGCGACCTGCACCAACACACGCACACGGCACAGTGTCAGACAGCGCACACAGACATACACACACGGCTCCGGTATGGGCCGGAGCACTGGCTCACTGACCGTGTTAGCATGGAACCACAGTCTGTCTCCTGGCACCGGGCCCCGTCCCATGAACGGAAAAGGCACCGATATCTCTGAAAGGGCGGAAAGTTAACGAAACACACAGTTTCGACAGTTATATCCAGCTCCTCAACGTCATATAAACCCTGCCAGGAAAAGTAATTGGTCAAGTTATGCTCCGTCCATGCCGAATGCTTGCAATGAAAACACTCTGCTTTGTCACGAGCTCTCAACAGCATAACAAAAACATGACGTTTATCATTCATATCAGGCAGTCAATGCCTCAAAATCAGAAACGAGTTTCAAGTGCTTTGAGCAATGAGCATCCCATCTACGTCGCTGGTGGTGTGCTCACTTACTTGCTTCGACATAAGCGGAGGGAGCGAAGCGCAGAGGAGCGGAGAATGGTGGGCCCACGAAGCAAGTACGTAGCTAATGCGGCCATTAACGCAAACGAGTGACACGACGCGAAGAGGCGATGTGTGAGACGCAAGATGGGGGTGAGCCGAGAGTCCCTTGACGGGCCGGGTCACGTCGCGGGTCAGGGGTCACCTGACCGCGTCACGTGACCCACGCTAGGCCGTGAAGTGTGATGGACGGAGGCAAGGGGTGGTGGTATGATGGAAATCTGTAAGACGACAACGTGGCGTCAGACTTTCAGCCGGCACCACGTCCTCAACACAGCACAGCGACACACTTGAGACTGCTCGGCCAGGTCCGACACTCTCACACTACTCTCTCCGTGTCTCGGTAACCAGCTCTCCTCTCTCTCTCTCTCTCTCTCTCGTGCACACACGCCATTCACGGACCGACCGACGGCAGCCAGCTCTGTCCGCACTCACCTCCTGCCGCCGAAACCACCACCGCCGTAGCCGCCGCCGCCGCGCATACCACCGCGGCTGCGGCTCTTGCCGGACGACATCTCCACACGGACCCGCTCGCCGCACAGCCGACTGGAGAAGGCCAGAGATGATCAGATTACACATACATAAATGAGAACTCAAAATAGTTACACACATAACATACAATATACAAGACTTAAAGAAGCAGAGCTGTATAAATTCGCAAAGCCTTATCAGCTTTGTCCCCAGATTCATATAACCCACATGAATTCACAAAAATAACCTATGTGACAGTCAGGCACTCACGTTCCATCCAGTCCTCGCACTGCGTCCTCAGCATCCCGTGGGTCCTCAAACTCCACAAATGCAAAGCCGGGAGGGTTGCGCGCAATCCACACGTTGCGCAGATTCCCGTACTTGCTGAAGGCATCTTCAATCTCATTCTTGGCAGCACTGTTGCCAAGATTTCCGACATATACCTTGCACTCCAGATTCCAGTTGCGGGTGGCCATCGTTGCTGTTTAGGGTTTACACAGCTGAAAAAGTAGAACATGATAATAAACTGCCAAGTCAACATTCTGTGCAGTGTGCATTTGATAGCCAGTTGTCACTTGAAAAGTAATTTAACCCTCGCCCGTATTAGTGTGTGGTAAAAACTGAAGTATCGCCTGGTGTTTTGCTAGCCGCGAACGTAAAGGGGGCCGGGGGAAGCCGGAGAAGGGACCCCTTACCGATTGGCCCCTGATCGAGCTAGAGCTTCGCGGAAAAAAAACGCGCCTGGTGTCCGTGACCGACCAAAGCAACCTACCTACCAGGGTATATAGAAGAATGAGAACTGCGGCTACAGACGGCGAACGGACGGGGAGAAAAAGGCAAGCACGGTATAGAGAACTGAAGGCAAGGAATAAAGAGAACATCCAAGAAGAAGGAACGCCGGTATAGAAACAATATGGCGGCTATCGGCATATGGTTGCATAAAATTCAACTTTATCTACTTTGTAGCTTTGCATGACGTCATAAGAAATAGATTGTGAATGTTCTCAAAATGACTAAACATAAATTTTTGGGCGTTTCTGAGAAAAACAGATGATGAACAACAATTTTTAATAGCATTTGGAAGTTTTGATAAATCTATTTTACTTAGTTAAATTATTTTGTTTTCAATTCTAATCTGTACTTATTATTTACCTATGATGTCATACAAATCACAAAAGTAATTTTTATAGTTGGAAGCATTTAAGAATTTCTGGTGAAGGAAAACTTTATTTTAACAAGTAGTATAGGGCACTTATTTTATAGATGTTCCATTGAATGACGAAAGTAGTTTGATCTTTGACCTCGTTTTGAAACAAAAAGTTCAAAAAAATGATTTGAAATGCTTTGACTGCAATGCACTCTAACTAGAAATAATTAAAATAATGCTTTTTCTCAATGCTTTTTACTCATGAAGCAAAGAAATACTTCATTTGGTATCTTTTTTGACGCGTCAACATTTCATATGTCTTAGCTGCGCCGTACCCGTCGATGTTTTATAAAGCCCGAGATACCTGCCATACACAATAAACACATTTTCATCTAGATCATCTACCAGCCTATGCCAGCCCGATATTAATTTTTGGAATTCGTAATTGCTAATTGGATCGTACTCAATTACGAATTTGTAGAGTTAATGATGGACAAAAAGAACGAGGAAGACGGTAAGCTTTACTTTTGTACTGGTACGCTGTGTCGGGCAATAATCACCATACGGAATTGGGAAATAATAGGTACAGGTTTCGCGGGTTTTAGCGGTAGGTTTTGCATCTAGAAAATTTAGTGTATTTCAGGCTATATCTTAGTTGTCTTACGCTTCTAAGTGTTGAAGATGCAATTGACTTGTTGGATAACAAGCCGGCCATGATTGTGTAAAATGGACATACATTGATAAGTTTCTTAGATATAACCAGAAACGTATAAGTGCAAAACCTATCGCTTAATCTCGCGAGAGCCGTACCTAAACATCCATGCGAATGATGATGCAGATGATGGCTGAGACTTGAGAGCGATCATCATGAACTTGAACTCACGGCTTTAATTCATAGGTAGTCCAAGCTGCTTGTGTTCTCATAGCTGCATTAATTGTGCCAATGACCGCCACAGTCAGCCAGACTGCAAAGTATGGCTGGCAGGTCAATGAGGTGCACCAGCTCAAGTTCAAAATCTGCAACAATCCCTCCTACATAGTCGGAAAATCTGCACCGAAGCCGGCTGAGAGTACAAAAATATGCACCCAACCCGCACAAGTGACCAATTGAAAGCTGCATTGAGCTCAATTATTGGTGTGAGCCACAAACCTGCCGTCTCAGTAGTATGGAAACAAAACGAGAAATACACAATGCAAGACTAGAACAAAAAGCATGTCACACCAATACAAGAACCCTATGAGGTACCTGTCCCTGGCAATTCACCCAGGGTGATTATTGGTAAAAGGTAAAAGTATACATTAAGTCCGAGTGACTGTTTAAAGATAAAGTTTTTATATTCTTACATTATTTGACATCCTGAATCCAAAAATGATACTTATATGTCCTGGAAATAAAAGAAAAACATAATCAAACCTGACCTAACCTTACCTATTTACCTACAACTTACCAACCTACAACCTACAAACCTACAACCTAACAACCTAAAACATACAAACCTACCAACCTAAAACCTAAAACCTACAACCTACAACCTAACCTACCCTAAAACCTAAAATTTTTGCTGTTACATATTTGTATCAACAGCGTCACAGTTCAGTAGGTGGAACTATGGTCATGAGTACCCAAATATAGGAACGTTCCCATTTTTGGGAACGGAGTTCCCAAATATGGGAACGGGCGTTCCCATTTATGGGAACGGAAGGTAATTTTTCGGCCGTTCGCCCACTAAAACTCATTAGTGCATCACGTCTCAAAAAAGTGCACGCTAATTTAAGTATCTACTAAGTCTCTATAAAATTATCTTTAATCTGACCGTTGCACAAGGAAATTGACCGTCGAATGATATTTTTAATGATTTTTTGAAATGACGGAATGGTCAAAACATGGGTTATACTACATTTAACTTGCAATTTTAAGGAAAATGAAGCGTTTTTTACATTTCGAGGTCAAGTATAATAATTTTCGCCTGGTTATGAAGTTTCATACTAGCGACACCAGATGCTGACATATGCAAGCGAACACGCGGACAGTCCGGGGGTAATATTGGTGACATTTGGTGTCGGGGCGCACGACCGCATGGAACGTCAGTGATTTTACCGAACTACTGTTGTAAACTCATTTTCAGTGGTTTAAAATTATTCAGCTGTATTTTATCATCCCAGAAAGACATATTTTATTTGGATGCTAGCTGTTTAGAGTTGTTTTATAAGGAGCGTCATGAGCGTGGTTTTTGTCTTCCGTGTTTCTAAGCGTGATCGTTTTGGGGGAATTTCTCTTAAATAGGTCGCTCTGTGTGGCTTATTTATAATTTTTATGCTGATTTCGATCATTCCTCGTGCCCATCCTAGTTCCTACCAGGCCTTTTGCCACTTACACTCATCAAGAAAGGAAAAACTAGATTTTCATTGGGACTAGGTGTTTTGAGGGTGTAGCATATTCAGCGTTCCCATTTTTGGATACTTCCTTGTGCTCGTCAACTATCGGTGATAAACAGACAGGTGCTTGACATGTCTCCACCCTCGGCGCGGACGGTGGATATAGGTATGGAAGACCTTGTTGAACATCGCTGAGCGTTGTGAATTACGTAATCCTGCAGAGGGGGGCGTGCCCGCTGCGAGATCGACGGGAATAAAAGCGCAGAAGACCGGGCGAAACATGCGACGGTCTTGCCGGAAAGGTTATCTGATGATTGTTGCGTTAACAATAATTTGCGGCGTTGGACGTGATGCTTGTTAATGAAAAGAGCCCCTGAAAGGCGTCGGTGAAATCGTTCCCAATTTTGGGTACGCCGTTCCCATAATAAGGAACGCTTGCAGCGCCAGTGTACGAGAGCGTTCCCAAATTTGGGCTCGCGGCCCGGATGATGGACTGCTTTAGAAATAGGGGAACGATTTGAAACTACGATGGGCCTTACAATATCAAACTCTTTCCCAACAATATTGAGACAAATATCAGCCGGTTCACGATCGCTTTATATTTTTTGGACGTCATTTAACGGTTCTTTTTCTTGTTTTAAATAATGCCTACATGGCGTTCCCATATTTGGGTTTATCGTTCCCAAACATGGGAACGAAAATGCGTTCCCGAAAATGGGTACGCTTGACCATAGTTCCGCCTACTGAGTTGTCCACTCAGACCTAATAGGTATATACTAATACCGATTATTGTGCAATGTACCATGGTTACCCCAATGGTGTTGACACTGCCATTTAGCTAACTGGCTTGACACCTGTCACCTTGTGAAGGCCCCAGTTACAAAAATAGAAATATGAACGGCAAAAAGTGGGCCCATGGCATGCATGTGCTTTCTGTATTTCTCGTTAGTTTACTAGCTGCATTGAACAACAAATCTAATATGCAAGTCATCCATATTCAAGGAATAAATTGTCAGCTGAAAGTGTGGCACTTGTGGCGCGCAAAGCAGCATATACCACTGCATGCTACCAAACATTTAAGTAAAAGATTTAAAACGTTAGATCTGCACTGACGTCACACATTCAGAGGGGGCATTCTAATGCATTAGCCCCTCTGAATCAAAGTGCTGCAACTTTGAAATTATATATATTTTCGATTTGAGGCATTTCTTGATCTTGTGAGTGCTCAAACCGGTAAATGCAAGCCAGGGACCCCATTTTGGCTATCTCAACTCAAAACTAATGTTAAGGTGGGGTGGTCACGAACCACCCGGGTCAGCGAGTGGGCGTCCGAGGGCAGGGCGGCCGCTTGTTTCATCAGGTCGTCCACGCTCTCATTCCCCCCAATTCCGTAGTGGGCAGGAACCCACTGCAGGATTACTTCGCGACGCCCGGCAATGTTTAACAAGATATTCCATACCTATCTCCGCGCCGAGGGTGAAGGCCTCGCCTGGGCCGCCGCTCCTCCGCTCAGTAGACTCAAGGCGGCTCGTGAGTCTGATCGCGCGACAACAGGGGCGGGGGACGTGGCTTGTCCCGAATCCTCTACAGAGCCACCCGCAGGGCGAATCTGCTGCTAGATTGGCTAGCGTGTCGAAAATTTCGGTAACCATCACTCGTCGAAAAATTCTGCGGCCGCCGTGCACCGACAAATTCAGCGGCCGCCATGCGCTGAATTCGGCGCATGCGAAGACGAAGTTACGCCGGGCGTGCACTGAAATTTTCGGCCCAATCCCGCCACTACGCCGGACATATCCGGCATACGTGTATTTTTTCCAGTCTGGTAAGTGGTACAACTCATTGTAATTGCTATATTGGTCTAGTCAGGTTCCGCTCATTTTCTTGTACTCTTAAGGACATGATTTAGAGTTTGTTGAGGTGATAAATGAATGAAGACCTAACTCCACAAGAAATCGTTTGGGTCAGAGCTTTCAGATTGTATTTACAAAACTTTGTCAGCGAATCTTACTAAAGCTCTGGGGTATCGGTCGCAATTTTGCCACCGATACCCCCGAACCAGATAACAAATCACTGATGATGTTTTGTAATTACCATTTGAAAGCTTGTACCCGAACTATTCCTTGTGAAGTAAAGTCCTCATTCACTTATTACATTTTCTTGTAGGTAGTTAGTTATTTTTCATCTTCACTTGTGACTGACCCCATCTGTGGTTTCCAAAATTGACTCCGACTCTGGCTGGGGTCAGAATTATCGACTTTGACCATTTCATACTCAGACTCTGGCTCTGCAGCCCTGACCATACATTTCGAAGACTTTTTGCAGATGGTGTAAAACACGGTGGCACTGAGAAACCGATCAACATTTTTGCATTATACACCTTGAACCCCTCTAAATATTGATATACAGTCACCAAATTTGCATAGGGGAGATTTCTTATGGGTTCACCTATCCTGGAAATTTGGTGATTCTACGTGGTGCACTCCAGAAGTTTTGAGACTTTTTCAGTAGAGACAGTTGTCTGTTTTAGAGAAGCATGAAACTTGTATGACTCTCGAAATGAAACCTCCCGAGTCCAATGCACCTGCTTTAGCGCTCCTGCCACTGCCTGAAGGCCTGCTGATAGACCTTCAAAGTGAAGGTGCCCAGGGCCTCTGTCACAGCCTCACTCATCTCCTCCACATCCTACGAAAGACGGCCCCTGATCTTCCCTGTCAGTCTGGGGAACATCCAGAAGCCATGGGGGCCAGATCAGGACTGTGGGAAGGGTTACGGACGGTTTTGACTCACATCTGTCTCAGATAGTTCGTCTCCATGGTGGACTTGTGGGTGTGTGCGCTGCCCTGGTGCAGGAGCCCCTGGGCACAGTTGAAGAGTTCCGACCTCTTGCGGCGAAATATCTTTCTCAACTCCCTCAGAACCTTCACGAATCATACCTTGTTGACCATCTGACCGTAGGAGACCCAGGTTATGAAGTTTTTGCCTTTTTGTTCTAAGTAAGGGATTAATTTGAGCTTCCCAGTGGACCTGCGCTGTCTGTCTTTATTGGGTCTGAAGGAGTCAGTGTGTTTTCATTGGACCTTCTGTCTCCTGGTCTCCTGATGTTAAAAGTACATCCAGCTTTCGTCTTAATTAAGTCACTTGAGAGTCAATTTGCTATGTATCTCTGGCATTTTTGCCAAGCTAATCCCAAAATGTTATTGCACAGCGACCCTCCAAGTTGTCTTCACATGAACAACCTGACTGTGCTCTACACTGGTCACTGTGACAAGCCGCGTGCGACTTGCCATGTTCAGGGTGACACCATTGCCGTCTTTTGCAACGTAGAAAAACAAAATTACGCAAGTACGTTTATGACAGCTGTGGTAAGGACTTGTGAGAACAACAAGTATCTAGCAGTGTTCATATGGATTTTACGAGGCCAGTCTCAAAACTTCTGGAGTGGACGACGTATATATGTTACACCACTACAATTTCTTTGCTACTGTTTGCAGGAAGTGGAAACCCTTTCTCTAATCTTGAGAAGACGTCAGTCCTCCAGGAAGCTCGTACTTTCAACGAAACGCCTGTGAACCCGCGGAAATGCATCCACATTTTGAGCAAAATTCTCTACATGCTCAATCAAGTAAGTAGGTGAATGTTGCTGTCAAGTCAAATGGGTTGATATTTTCTGAAATTTGTAGGTATGGAGTGGATGCTGGCTAACCAAAATGTTTAATATGATATTGATGCTTATTACTTAACTTACATTCTTTATTGTGCCCATTCTGTTTCATTGTTTTGCTTTTGTGTTGGTTCTCAGCATGACTGTTTCTCATTTGTTCCTTGATGTCAGTGGCCGATCGCCCATGTTAAGTCGTCCGTCTTCATTAGAAGCATTTATACTCTGCATGTGTCTATTTCACGTAGTGATTTCCCTGCCCAGTCAATTCTGGTGTGACTTAATCTCTGACCAGTCAATGTTCTGGTACTATTGTCTGACCAATCAGTATCCTTGTGTGCTGTTACCTGACCAGTGAGCATCCTTGTGTGCTGTTACCTGACCAATCAGTATCCTTGTGTGCTGTTAGCTGACCAACCAGCATCCCTCTTGTACCGTTACCTGATCAATCCGCGCGTCGCTGTGACCGACAGGGCGAGCAGCTCGGCTCCACCGAGGCCACCGAGGCGTTTTTCGCCATGACCAAACTGTTCCAGTCCAAGGATGTGACCCTCCGCCGGCTCGTCTACCTGGGCATCAAGGAGCTGGCCGGTGTGGCCGATGACGTCATCATTGTGACGTCATCACTGACCAAGGACATGACGGGCAAGGAGGATCTGTACCGGGCGGCCGCCATCCGAGCACTCTGCTGCATCACGGACGTACGTCACACACTGAGACATAGAGTCGTAGCCTGGTGTGACGCCGGAATAATTGGCGGCCGGGCGTGATCAGTACCATATCACATGCGTTGGACAGACATTTGTTTGTAGCCTAATGAACCTGTTAGTTGTATTGAGTGTATCAGGAGGAGTCCGTTGAACGCCGTGATGTACAATCTGGCGCCTTAACTGGGGGTGTCTGGTTAATTTGCTTTGCGGCGTTTTCCTTCAGAACACCAGTCAGTGCTGCCCTCTGGAAGTTCTCTAGCCATCTATCCGTCTCTGGCCACCGTCCGCCACTTGTTTTCGCATTGGCTGACTTACCCATTTCTCACTCGCTCTCATATTCTCCCAGCGGTCTAGCTAGCACTACCTCCCGTCCGTCGCTGGCCGACTCTCTCCATCCACCCCTCTCTAAGCTCTCTCTCTCTCTCTCTCTCTCTCTCTCTCTCTCTCTCTCTCTCTCTCTCTCTCTCTCTCTCTCTCTCTCTCTCTCTCTCTCTCTCTCTCTCTCTCTCTCTCTCTCTCTCTCTCTCTCTCCCTCTCTGACCTCTCCCTCCCCTGTCCTCCACAGACCACCATGCTACAGGCCATCGAGCGCTACATGAAGCAGGCCATCGTGGACCGCTCGTCAAGCGTCAGCAGCGCCGCACTCGTGTCCGCCCTGCACCTGATGCGCTCCTCACCTGACGTTGTCAAACGCTGGAGCAACGAGGCGCAGGAGGCACTCAACTCGGACAAGTGAGTTAGCATGGGGTGTGGGGAGGCTGTGCGGTCTAAATGGGAGGGAGGTGTGGGAGTTGTCATCTTCTGACTGGACATTTTGGAAGACACCAGGGCGAGAGCTTGAGCCGCCTGAAGTCGAGTAACAGCTGTAGTAGCAGCAAACAGTGACAACAGCACATATATTTAGGACATATAAGGTCAGCTGTCCAGCATGAATAGTTGGCGCTGTTGGTGCCAAGTGGTCCACATTCGAGAGATTTTCTTTTTGGATTCGTCTCCGTACAAACATCGCGGGTTAATTTGCCGTTACCATCGACACACTTTTCCTATCGCACTACATGGGATCGCTTCTGCCCACGATATGTGGTCCCATTTCGCCGCTTCCTACATGCTCCGTCTTCCCGTTCCCATTGACGTCGGGGCGTCTTTGATCGTACCGCCCTGACAAAAACGTCCCCCGTCTGACCGATTCGCCGTCGCTCCGCCGCCGCTGTCCGTGCCCGGGCAAAAATCACCGGCCGTTCCTCAGTTACACCAATAGCTGGTATTGACACCAACGAGGCGTTGTCTGAAGGAGCCGATAGCTAGACTGTTCCGCTGGGGTTTGTAAGGCCGTCAGTGAAGGCCGATAGCTAAACTGTTCCTCGGGGGGCGTGAAACTGCCTCGCACGACTCGGGTGGGCCAGGGATAAATGGGTTATGCAAAGTGGAGGGTGATATGCTATGGGAGTAAATCAGAACAATGCGAAACATCGACGGGGCTTTGCGGAGAGGTTTTCACACTGCCTTCACTAGGGCATTGTTTGGTCGTGTCTTGCGGTGATTAAAAAGCCTGTGAAATATGCCGCAATTTGATAATGCTTGATTTTTGTGCTGAATTTCTTCCTGTCCCCTAAGTACCGACCTTGTCTCTGCATCTGGTCTCCGGACGGCCGCTCCTGCCGAATGGAACAGGTATGCAGATGTGACAGCCTCGGGCTGCAGTTTCTCGTCATCTGCAATGGTCGTACGTTCCTCTGACGTCAGAGGGCCGCCGGTCTGCCGCTCCTGAGTGTTATCGCCGGCGGTAGATGGACGGGAAGTGCGGCTCGGCACCCCGGGGTCAGCCCAGACGCGATCGGCGGATTTGTCAGCCCGACACCGCCACACCAGGCGGGCTGCTGATAGTGACCTCAGACGATCGCCCAGACATTTGGGCGGTACGTGCCCGGGCAGCGGAGAAACTGGAACGTAGTCGGTCCATAGAGAAACCGGAGCTCGTTTGAAACGCAAAAAGTAGCAGCGCTGATACTACATAGTTATATCAAGTCGAAAACTAGACAAGTAGTTTCTGGGAAGAAGTTTCTGTGCAATTAAGCCTCCTTTTTGTGCAAGGCTTTGTTTTCTTTTATCTGGTTAACCCTTTAATAACACAAAATCTGCTTAATTGCGTTTTTATAACTGCAACTAGAGGCTGGATGGAATGTTGATTGCGTTTTTTTTTTTGCAAGAAACTTGTTAAAGCAAACTTTCTACGCTGGTTTCTAGAACATGCTGCATTAGCTTTTGGAACTTGAATTTAACTACAATCTAGAGCCAGCCAAATATGTCAACGTCCTATCCATCCATTTGGCAGTGTTTGAATCAACACTCGATATTTTGTTTCGTACATATTTTACAGTTAGGTACTACACCAACTGCAGTTGACCTCAATTGAAGCTACCTTCCCTCAAATACACTTTATGGGGTCATTCAAGATAGGAAATACTTAAAACCTCGACAAACATGCATTATATCCCTCGCAACTGCGTTTTCACCTTTAACATGCTTCATAATGTGAAGTTATAATGGCATGGCAATTTTGGAACAGCCTGTCAGTGTACGTGCCCCTATCCAATATCCATGTTCTTACTTCTACTGTTTGTCTGAGTTCCAAATCGCTAACAAAACATCCGAACCAATCAAAGTTGCAAGCGATTGTGATCGATTTCTTGATGGGTTGACTTTCTATCTGATGAATCTTTTTCAAATCCTATCAATTTATCAACACATTAAAAAACGGGACTTACCTCCGACCGCAATGCATTTCAAGTACCCGTACGGTAATGTCTCCAGCGTCGGGGTTTCCTTCTCCTCATGTTGACGTCATTTCCTATTAAAAGTGCCTATAATGCCTACATTTCAGCCAGCGACTTTGCACCGTGAAATCCCATCAGTGCTGCACTACTGAATCACTCGGAACAAGGCGAGAGGTTACAGCTTAGCTCAATCCCTGGTGGTAGAGTCGGGACTGGGAGACCCGAAAGGAGAAATGAAATGAGACTGGCGAGTATTATCCCCTTCTCACGCCCAAACGCGTGACTCTGGCTCGTTAATGGCTTTGGGGCACGTAATGATGCTGCATTTGGAAGGCAACTATCTTTGCCAGACGGTTTTAAATGTTAGCAGACGTTTATTCTTAGCACGGTGCGTTTGGCAGTGGTGTAAAGCATGCTTGAATGGCCGATTGAACGTCGTTGGCTGATGTCTTGGAAACTTCGCTCTTTGAGGAAAGCAAAATGAGAAGGCATTGAAAGTTTGAGAATAGTTTTTTTTTAGCATTTCTCGAGCCGATCGTTTCCCGTCTCTTTGATCGGCCTCATAATCACTTTTCAGGTCACCTTTGAAGGATTACGAATATGACTTCATAAGAAGATCAAATGGTACGGATTTTAAACCTCAGCGAATGGCTAGCGAAGCAACGCCTCAATGCAGGGTATTGGCCAGTCGTTCAATAACCTGTATTTGAGTTGAAGCGGTTTTAAATGTGACGTGTAAATGATTTAAAAACGATTTAGTCGACTTGTTCAAGATCTTCATCGAACTTTTTTACCTTTTCCTCGCCGTGTTCTGTTTTAGCGAGTACGATCAAATGCGGCGTGGTGGACGGTGGTCAGCGTCTTTACGAACAACTGTATTCGGCTCACCGATATAATAAATAACTACATCGGTTAATGAAATAATGTTTTCAATTATTGCTACGTTAACCGTTTAGATAACGAATGCTATACACCGAATTATTTAATGTTTTTAATAGCAATGTTGCAACACTTCCCGCCGTGCCTGATCAGTAGTGCCCGTGTCTCCGCTCTGATTACGCTGTTCGGCCGTGTGTTAGACGCTGCTGGGCTCGACCTGTGCCGCCGTCGGCCGTACCGCGCTCGGCTGCTGATCCGCCCTTTGTGCCGGCCTGTTCAATTTGCCGCGTCGGCCCGTTGCCAGGCGGCCGGTGCGTTGGTGCGTTGGTCCCCGGACACTAATCTCTCCATCTGACGGTACTGGTGGCATCCCGGCGGCTGCCGACGCGTCGGCTCGCGCCACGCGGCCCGGAGTGACACGCTCTGTTCAGTTTGACTCGCGCCGGCCGCCGCCGCTCGTGTAAGCTCAGCGGAGAACAAAGTAGGGTGATATAGCAGGTCCGGGAGAGTTGTTGCAGTTTGTTGGAAACATAGACTGGCAACTGTGCCGCTGGCTTAGGGAAATGGAAACGTGTTGTGTTGTAGGCTCTTTTGGGCGTTCGCAAAAATGTTGCACGAGCTGAGAAAAGGGGTGTTGCTGGGCAAGGAGAATGATAGAATGATTTTAGTGTCCGTCTTTGTTCAACAAACAAAAGTCGAATGAAAAATAGGTTCTGGCTTTGTGTTATCTCATTGGCCTGGAATGAATACGTTTCTTCGAAGGTATCCCTGTTATGCTCTTGAAAAGTCAGTTTGCAATCGACAGTTTCTTTATAGTCGTAAATTGATAGAATTACCTTTTTGTAATTCATGTCGCATGCCTAAACGTACTATCGATGCGCCCAACGAATATCACGGAAGACACATACCCTACATATCGACACCTTTTTTTAAACCCCACATCTGTTCTCCGGTGAATTTCCGGGAAGCACGAAAGATCTCTTTTTAGAAGTGTCCAATCGTCCGATCCTGATCAAATTTGTGTGTTCGTAAGCTTGCTCTGGCATTGCTTGATCTGCCAAGACAGACAAACTTGAGAAAAATCGACTGACTGTACCTTTTTTTGAAGGTTTCTAGACAACTTGTCTGAACTTCACGGGAGAACAAATGTGGGGTTTAAAAAAAGGTGTCGATATTGGCACCATCATCTTCCTCACTCTCCCTTCCCGTTCCGCGGGGAATCGATCATGGCCTTCCTCTTCCACCGGTCGTGCCGCCCAGCACGGGCCTTTGACTGTGGCGGAGATGAGCCACGTCCATGGTTTTACGGCATCGACACTGCCAGTCGGGACCATCGGAGAGCGCCGATAGTCGCCGGCGTCGCCGCCACGACCGCCAGGGGACGCTTCAAAAGCCGCCGGCCAAAGTGGTCCAAATTAGAGCACAAATTGAACGGGCCGCACCACCCTCATGAATTGGGCGGACAGTGTGAAATCGATAGGGATGGCGGCGGATTCGCTGATTAGGCGCAGCGAAATTATCGTCACTAGTTTGCGGAAAGTACCTCATCGGAACAAGCGGTAATGTTTTGAATTAATTAATTGTTTTGTCCGTGGTTGGTATGTTTTTACAGCGTAGTTTCACAGCCAAATACTTAATGACATCATGCATTTTTGATACTACATTGTTGCTTTTATTATTTTTTTTTTTATACTGGCATGGTGCCGTGTGTTCTGGTTTGGGCCTCGCCTGCCGGGCCGCCCCGTACCGGTTCGTACCGGCTCGATGTGACCGGGTGCTGGGTCACCCCACCTTGGTACGATGTGGGCGCCTGTCATTGGTCGGTGGCTGGGTGGCGTGATCAGGCCACACCACCCGAGTTATGTGTCAGTGTGTGATCGGTCGGCCGAGATGTAGCGAGGCGATGTGTGTGCTGGATCGAAGAGAAAGGGGAGTCTGGTTTTGGTCGGTGATAGTGCAATACACCTCCACAGCTCAGCCGGCTTGTGAACTCTACATGGCGCAGCCGACATCTACGGACCTGCTGCAAGTAAGCTGAGGTGTCGCCACCGGTGCCTATCCAGCTGGCCGGCGACGCAT